CAGATGGTGAAGTGTGATCCTCGTCATGGTAAATACATGGCCTGTTGTCTGCTGTACCGTGGTGATGTGGTGCCCAAAGATGTCAATGTAGCCATCGCTGCCATCAAAACCAAACGCAGCATCCAGTTTGTGGACTGGTGCCCCACAGGCTTCAAGGTGGGCATCAACTATCAGCCACCAACAGTGGTTCCTGGTGGAGACCTGGCCAAGGTGCAGAGGGCCGTGTGCATGCTGAGCAACACCACAGCCATCGCTGAGGCCTGGGCCCGTCTCGACCACAAGTTTGATCTCATGTATGCCAAGAGAGCCTTTGTCCACTGGTATGTTGGGGAGGGAATGGAGGAGGGAGAGTTCTCAGAGGCCAGAGAGGACATGGCTGCCCTGGAGAAGGATTATGAAGAGGTTGGGATTGACTCGTTTGAAGAAGATGAGGAAGGAGAGGAATATTAAAACAGGCCTAGCGTTCATTTGCCACTATTCATTGTTTTTTTTTTTGTTTTTTTTTTAAAGATCTACCTACTTATAAGGGTCTGGAGTTATTTCTTTTGTTGCGCATCAAAATGAGTACTTCTCAACTTTTCACTCTTGCCAATTTATGCCCATTTCTTTTATCAAAAAGATAAAATATGTGCAGTAACCAGATTTTATAAGCGTGAAACCTGTGTTGTTGCTCAATAAAGCTTTCCTTCAAATACGTTGTCTGCTTAATTCTTGACTTAAAAAAAGATGCTTTTGTTTCTATATTATGAAATGTGTATAATTTGGCATGATCATCTTATTTGTATCATATTTTACATCCACTGAAATCAGTTCTAATTTATTTCTACAATATACATATGCCTAATCTTTATATGTAACCTCATTGGGAATGGACCCTATACTGTACTGCATAACTGAGACTAGCAAGAGTTTTCTGTATTATCAATAACAAATATCTATATACAGTTGCATCTCAGAAAATAAGAATATTATTAAAAAGGAAAAGTGTTTTTTTTATTTAAGTCAAAGTGAAATTTAAATATACTCTTAGTTTTAACCCCTTTCTCCTTTTTTGTTTTAATCTTGATTATGGTTTACAGCTAGACACTAAGATTGTGACACTTCCTCAACACATCTGTCCGTGGTGGCTCTTGAAGCACTGACATCAGCCTCTGTCCACTCCTTGTGAAGCTCCCCCAAGTTCGTGAATCAGCTTTGATTGACAATCCTCTTGTGGCTGCGGTCATCCCTCATGCTTGTGCGCCTTTTCGTGTCACACTAGGCTATAACTTTCCAGTCGACTCTCCATGAATATGCTTTGATACATCACTGTGCAAAAAGCTAGCCCTTTCAGCAATGATCTTCTGTGGCTTACCCTCGTTGTGGAGGGGGTCAATGAGTGTCTTCTGGACAACAGTCAAGTCAGAAGTCTTCCCCATGATTGTGGTTGTGTGTACTGCATATAGGCTACAAAGTGGCAAACAAGACCACACGATTACAGTTCCCATTAACCTCCGTTTGCCCCTCCCTCATTACCACCACTGAGGTGCTCTTGAGCAAAGCACTTAATCCCAAATATAGATGCCAGATTGGTGCTGTATTTGGAAGCTATCAGGTGTGAATGTGTGTAACTGTGTGTGCATGTGGGAAGAAGATGACAATGTATTCTTTGTTAAGTCCCGCAGTAAACTACTGACTGCAGTCTAATTTTAAAATGCTATCCATCATATCTTCCCAAGTAGTAGTTTGTCACAAAACTCTGTGCAACTCAAGTACTGTGATGCTAAACCTATGTGTGAGATGATGTTTTCTTGTCTGCATCTGACAGACAGGTCAGCCCTTAGCTTCAGCACACTTCTCAACAGGTTTCTACGTGCCTCCCACACAAGGAAGAGATAATGTGTGGTTGTTGCAACTGATATCCATTTCCCATGGGTGCAATCAAATCTTGTTAGGGTCCAACATCTTAATTGTGTTGGACAACACACCCATTATACCACTATACTTTATTGGCATCATTAAGCAGGGAGTACAGAAATACGTCAGTAAATCCTGAAATGTATTGGGTAATAAGTTATCTTTCAAGGTTTATTGCTTTACTCATTTGTTAAATTATTTAATTAATTACACATAATAAACACATTTTTGTCTTTATTTCATTTATAGCCTGTTTAAAGTTTGGTTAATATTCATCATTCAATATAAATCACTGCATATAAATGCTGCATTACCAAAACTGTTTGTCCACACTCAGATAATGGCTGTTGCACAAGGGATCTGCAGCATGCTGCAGAATTTGCCGAGCATCACATCCCTCCAGCATATGGAAGTTTTAATGAGTTGGCAAAAGATCCAGACACTGGTGGATTCTTCTGTCAGCATATGGCAGATCACAACTGGTTCCAAGAATGCTTATCTCTAGTGGATTGCATCTGCAGACTTTGTCTTCTTGGATAAATATTAAATGATATTTCTAAGCACTAGTCTCTCTTTCCCTCTCCACTGGCAAGCTCTTTATGAAGTCCAAAAAGAATGTGCTGATTGAGAAGCCTCTGACCACCTATTAAAGACATGTCGAGGATCCACTGCAGCTGAAGACAATAGTATATTTTTCATGGAGATAACTAAATATAGTCATTTTCTAAACCAAAATCCCTTTACAATTCCAACAATTCTATGTCTCCTTACAGGAATAAAATTTCCCATATCATTTTTTAGTAGTAAGAGGCTTGCCACGCAGAAAGTGGCCAAGCCACAGGGCACTGCATAGATGATGGTGATTGTCTCAAGGAAGTCAATTTTCCAAGGAAATATTAGACTACTTTAGATTTCAGGGCTATAAAAGACATTCAGAATGACAGAATCAGAATAAAATCTCCTATTGAGTTCAGGCCACATGGGTTCATTGTAGATGTTTTGATGAAGCTTGGACTGTGTGTGTGTGTGTGTGTGTGTGTGTGTGTGTGTGTGTGTGTGTGTGTGTGTGCAGCTAAATGAAATTCAGGCATCATTCCTTTTTGTTATTTATACCTGTGCTTTTCCTGTTGTGATATGTCAACATGTCTCCTGTGGAAAATAAACCATATTAAGATTGATAACCTATTTCATTTAATGTTTTGATTTTCATTCATTCATTTTCTATTTTGTACAAATTCAATTGAATCTCTTATTTCTTATGCAAATAAACTCAGTTCTTTATACAGTTTCATGTTTTATTGACTCAAATATGGTAATAAGTATAACATTTCTTTAATTAATTTAAGATTTTATATTAATTTAAATTCGCTACTAATGTCATTAATGGTTGCTCGGCAACTGTAGAGACGCTTTTCACCTTTCCGGAAGTGCGTGGCTCTGAGGAAATATGGCGCACAGAGCAGTGCATATACCAGTGGTATTCATTTTTTCAATCTATTCTTTTACTTCATTCTGTTTGTCAATTGTCGTCGCTTTTGCAGTATTTAAAACAGTGAACACTGACAATGTGTTCAGTGCAAGCCACACGGCTTCTGTACCCATCGCTGCCGCTAGGGATCTACGGTGAGTTTACTGACATGTTAAGTTACTGTTAGCTAGCTACTCTATGCTAACGTATGATTAGTTACAGTTATTTGTTGTTCTTAAACTATAACGGTAATGTTTAGATGTACGGTAACTACAGCTTCAGGTTCCACTTTTAAGGTTGTATTTCTATTCCGTTTGCCAGACTTGACCGCTTGGGTTGATAAGTCTGCAGTCTTGATGAGAGGTACGTTAACGTTAGCTAAAAGTGTACCTGAACCCCATTCGGAAAGTTGTCCGTTTAATGACTTCTTGGGCATTACAACCATAAACTCTTTGTAGACATATCCCCCAATACAATTTACAAAACACTGTTATGTTGTAGTGATTTTCGGCGTATAAATGGTTCATTAAGTAGCACTTGATAGTAACGTTAATCTCTTCCTTGCTTACGTAAAGTTAACTGTAACGTTAAGTTAACTGACTGAAAATCGGGGCTCATTAGGTCAGGACTGTGTGACTTAACATTATCTACGTTTTTGTAAAGGGGGGTTATTTGATTAAACTGAATATTGTAGCTATTTGGAAACAGTGGATAAATTCGTGTTTAAATTTAAGTTAACTTAATGTTGGTTAGAGGATGTGATATAATGTTATGTGTCACATAATTATGACTGATACCACAATGGATGATTTTGAGGTTTGTTGACATAAGGTTGTATGACGCTAGACTACTTAAACTGCCAATATATACTTAAACCATAAGATATTAAGAGAAAATTAATTATGGCTACCTGTCGGTGTAAACATAATTGATAAGGTGTTAGCTGCAGTATGATTAATATAACCCTGCTTTTGTTGTACACACTCAGAAATAGAAGTACGGGTGTGTACTTAAAAGGGTACAAATGCTTGTCGCAGGGGAGGTACCCTTTTGAGGGACAATTGTGTACCCTTTAGTGCCGGTACATTTTTGTACCTTATGAAATTGGTACAATTGTGTACCCTGCAAGACATAAACGTACCTTTTAAACTATAGTACAATAATGTACCAATTAAAAGGGTACTAAAATGTCCCATTAAGGGTACCACCCCTGCGACAAGCTATTCTGGACTTTAAGGAGACAAAAATGTACCATAATTCTCCACACAATTATACTTTGACTGTTTATTGATGTCAGTGAAAATGTGATTTTCCAGATGAACATGACATGTATTTGTGGTAATACAAAGTTAATTCATTGCAGATAGTTTTACAAAAAATATGAAACTATACCTACTCTGAAACTACAGAACACATAGAACAAAAGATACTTTGATTTGTCCCACGTCTGCATGTACACTATGCATCATCAAAACAGTATAAGCATATTTAGACAAAAAGTAAAAAAATATATTTTGGCAGATAATATTTAGACAGAAATACCTCAATGAATCTACCATCAACTAAATGTGTCTAGAGCCTGATGGTGGATTGGAGTCCAATTGATGACAAGTTTCCTACACAACACCCCAACACACAAAAAAGTCTCAATGTTCAGATTGTGATTAATTTTCAATAAAGAGATGGCTTCAGGGTGTACATTACCTACAACAAAAACATCCTTTGACACCATTACCAGATAAAGATGACATACGCTGAAGTACTGTATCCTGAAACTGCACATCTTTAAAATACCAGGTGTGGGTAAGTTATACTAGTTATTTGAAAGGTTCTTCTGGGTTTTTTTCCCAGCAATTAGAAATATTGTCTTTGTGGTTTCAATAAACATGCCACCGAAAAGAAAGGTTCGTGGGCATGTACAAGTCCAGTGTGTTGAATCACTTGCCTCAGAGCAAAGGTCCTCTTTGAACATTTCAAACAGTAATGCAGTCCATGCATTTTCAGTAAAGAAGGTTAATGCCTCGAGTTACAGTTACCAGCAGGGGTTTGTCTCAATCTTCCATAAAGTCCATGATGTGTCTTCGGAGAAAGTTCAGGGTCTTTTGAAAGTTTGTAGGATATGTCATGTTGAAGACGAAGCAGAAGGCTGTGATAAACTGGATGAGGCATCCACTGAAGTGCAGGAAAAACTTCAATTCCTTCCAATTTGAAAACACTGCAATGTCTGTAGAGGGCAGTTTTCCAGTCGTGGTCTTTCAGTTGAATGATTGGATGGGAGTTAGGGGATCATTCTACATAAGAGAAAAAAAACATTTTAGCATTCATAACAAAATGGATGTGGTAAGGGGGGCACAGTAATCCAAAATAACATTCCTAGGTCATAAAGATGGTACAATTTTAAGGGTGCCTTGCTTATTTGTGACCGACACGTTCCTACATTTGCAAATGCATGGAACAAACAATTTCACATTCAGGTTTTACATTGGAATAGACATTCAAATTAGTAGAATAGTATCAAATCACAACACATGATGTCTGACACTGACCGCAAGGCGGTATCAATGATGTAGATAATTGAGCGAAAATGGTGCCTAATTTGAAGACAAAGCTTACACAAGCCATCACTTATTAACATAAAATCCAAGATGTGGAAGAATGTGGATGCAATTAAATTAAAAAACGTAACATCTCATTTCATTCTTTCTAAACGTCACTCAGTATTGGGGTGTCATATTTTTTATGTTGTGACTTGATGTTGTAAACATTAATGTTGCTGCTCTAGAAACAGTTGTATTTAAAATATTAAATTCTAATCCTATAATTAATTTAAGAACAACCAGGAAGTTTAAATGCACACTTCAATATTTGTTTTATTTATCGCAAGTCATACCTACCTCTGCCCGTTGGGTCTGGTCTGACCAAAAAACAGTCAATAAATAATAGGAACTATCGATAGTGTATCGAGAGACTGAGATTGTTAAGCAGTCTCAATAATGTCATCTATAATCAATAAAAATTAACGATCCCCATCCTCATTTGTAATGTATGTGTTAAAATCAGTACCTGTAATAATATCCTCAGCCACGGGATTCTCTTTCATCCATGTGGGTTTTTTTCAGTGACAAATCCAAATGTGAAGTTTTCACTGAAGCGGTGGCAATTGTTGACTGCAAAGGGTTGCATAGCATCGACCTCATCGCACAACTGAGATATAAAACAGAAAAATATGGGAAATAAATAAATTTTATTTGCAGTACTGAAAAACCCTTATTATACAAGTTAAGACCAGTGAGTACTTCAGGATTGCAGGTCAAAAGTTAATATTGCTTTTGACATGCTTTCAGTCGTCCATTCTTTACTGGTTGTTACCACTGAGAATAAACAAATTATTTTCTCAAAGCCTGAACATTTGTTATATTTGAACAGTAACACTTACATTGTACACTGCATTTCATATAGACTCCTCATTATGTTGTTGCGGTACTGTTGTTCCTTTTGGACCGGTTCTGCAAGGCAGTCTGTGTCAAGTAGGTTCCCACCTGCAAAACAGCAGAAGAATCACTTTATCTTAGCTAATTTGCCACCACATTGATGCAGATTAGGTCAATCTATGCAACAAAGAAAAGGTGAAAGAGTGGTGCATTTATTACATTCTTACCTCTGGTTTGTATGGGACACATGTTTGTTGTTCTGTCTTGACTGCTTCCAAATTAAGGGTGACCTCCTTGTAGCAGAGTGTGAAGTCTGAACTTTAACAGCTTTTGGTCAGACTTGTCAGAGATACCCGATCATACTCTCTGTGGGTATGCAATCCACTCTCTCGCCATCTACGTCATCGTCTGAAATGTAAATAAAAAATCCATTAAATACACAGAAGCACCGACACTTTGGACATACAAATCATGATTACTACAGAGAATGACTGACACAATTAATGGATTGGGTTAAGAACAGAACAAAAAAAAATCTTAAAATCTTTAATTGAAAACCCCTTGACAGAGAAGCTGCTGTAAAGTTCAGATATTTACCACATGATATTGGTTAACAGCATTATTCAAACTGGAAAACTTCTGAACTGAAGAAAGCAGCCATGCACATTAAGACTCTGCTTTATTTGTACCAATCAGTTAGCCATGTCAATTTCTGCCCAGCTACTGCTAAGTCACCACCAGTCACAGCATCAAAGTGCTCGTTATAATATCAGAACAAACTTAGCAAGCTATCTAAGGACATGCAATGCTGAACATTGGCTGTAGATACCCAGGCTAACATAGCTCTTCAGATATTAGCTAGCTAAGTTCGGATCTATGGTTACCAGTACAGTAAATTACAATTAATGTGAAATTCACATTCCACTTACCTCTACATTTCTGAGCCGCCTCCTCCGGAATTTCAATGCCTCCTTCCACCACCAGCTTTTGTAGTAGCGCCTTAGTCGACAGACCCAGTGACATTGCTAGTAGCTGTAAATAAGCTTGACATCTTCGGTCCCGCTCGGAGTTTGAGCGGCACACTGACCGTTAACTCTGTCGGGGCGGGGGAGTGAATACGTCAGAGGCATGTCCCGCCCTACTCTGCCTCTGATTGGCTTAGCTTGTTGATGATGATTCTCACAGCATACACATACATGTAAAGCATGTCGGTCACAACGTTAGACTGTGGTCATATCAGATTTTTTCTTTGATCCACTTGGGGAAAAAAACCCAACCATATAAAACCAATATAATAATAATATAATTTTACTTTAATACTACTATATTACTATAATATTTTGCTTAGATTGTTAGATTTAGACTACCACGCATTGACTGTATAAAAAATAAATGGTTGGACTGCACTGTCAGTGTCACCAATTTAGCTAGCTAACCGCAGCTATATAGACCGCAGCCAGAGCTAACAGTTTACATGCAACCCCTGAGTGACATGTGAATGTCCCAATCACTTGATAGCATAGACTGTAGCATTAAATCTTTACTTTTTGCTAACACCAAGGGTATCTGGAGGCCAAAAAGGTTTGCCAACAATAATGCATAAAGGTTCCTGGAAATGAAGAGTTTGTGTTTTTCTCATGTGTAGGTGCCAACTTTGGAAGTAGCAAATGAGCTACAAACGTTTTTCATGGCTGCATTGCAAATGTCCTTTGACAGACAGAAAGGGTACAGATTTGTTCTTATTTTTGTTTTAAATCACTTTGTACCCTTTCTGTAGTCAAAAGGTGCACTTCTGGTCTCTTTAAGATCAATATTGTACCTTTGAGGGAACATTCTTGAAAAGTGTACCTGTAAGTACAGAAATGTTCTTGTCTCGTACCTCCATTTTTGAGTGTGTACAGATGATGTTTGACTTTTTAAATCAAAATTGCTTTATTACTGAATGTGGAAGGTTTGATGTATTGTAAACTGCAGCCTTTTTTAAACAAAGCTTTTTCAAACTCCTAGATCTCATGTCCTCTCTTGTCATCTCAGGTACCTTTTGTATGACGTAAACCCCCCAGAGGGTTTCAATCTGCGGAGAGATGTCTATATCCGCATGGCCTCCTTGGTGAAGACTTTGAGGAAGGAGGGGGATGACTGGGTATTGGTGCTTCCCCCATGGGGTCGCCTCTACCACTGGCAGAGCCCCAACATCCATCAGATCCGCATCCCGTGGGGCGAGTTCTTCAGCCTCACTAGCCTGCAGGCCAATGTGCCTGTCATTGAGTATGAGGAATTTATCGCAGGTGAGTTACATTTTCTGAAATATTTTGATTTTTCTGGTGTGTGAACCTATTGAAAGCACATTATTGATAAATGCTTTATAAATACATTGGCATTGTTAAAGCCTTTTCTGCTCTAATAAGCACTAATGGTTCTTTTTCACAATGCACAGCCACAACTGTTTAATCAGCTGTTTAAACAGGGTGCTGCTTAGCTTTCTTCTAAGTGTGTGTGAAAGGCAAACACCAGCGAGTGTGTTTTGTTCCTCCCTTGGGTCTAGAGAATGGAGGCCCATTCATAGACCAGGTTCTGGTACTGCAAAACTACGCTGAGGGATGGACTGATGGGAAATGGGAGGAAAAAGTTGATATGCGGCCATGCATTGAGAAGCTGATGTTCTCCAAAGATAAACAGGGCTACTACAGGTAAAGGAACACGGTGCACAAAGCCCACAGCAATTTAAAACACAACACCTAAAAAGGTATACCTTTCAATTTCTACTTGTATACAACTAAGTAGCAATGCTATATAATGTGTAACAATGTTAAATCACATTGAAACGTAAGGGTGTGTGGCGTTTACGTGGTGGTTGCGGTTATAAATAGTTTGACACCAGAGACTGGGTTTTTATCCTGACAGATATATTATTTACCCTTGACTAAAGTTTTTGTCATTGTTGTCATGACAAAGATGTTTTCTTAATCCAGGGGTGACCAGACTTGTTCTGTCATGCCCTTTGTTTATTGTTCCTACGTGTGCCAAAGAAAATTAATACTCACTTTAGACAGTGATGGATCACATTAACAGTATTTCTGTATTAATGTTATCCATCTCTGCCTTCCTGCTCACCTATCCCTCTTCTATCCATTCATCACCAACTGTATCATTTATCTTGTTTGTGTGTGTTTCCAAGGGGATGGTTTTGGGGCTACGAGGAGACGAGAGCTCGAAATGTAACATGTATATCAGCCCAAGGCCATGCCTCCATCATGGCCCCAGTTCTACAGAAAAACATCACAGTGACGTGAGTCTACAGAACAACATGATGATATAAAATGCACTCACTACACTTCACTACATACATAGTGTGTGTGTTAGTTAAGCACCAATGTCCATAAAATGTGTCTCTGGCTGATAAATTAATATTATTATTTTTGAATTTGGGGTTGTATTCAGTTCTATTGAGCTTGATTAATATTATCAAAACATATCCCTTTTGCCAATCATGTTTGATTCAACCTGATAACTAATTCTACTCCTAAAGCAGCACTGAAAATAGTTTGAAAGACATTACAATAAACAATGTACAGCACATTAAGTGTGCTGGTAAAGGCATAAGACGGTATGTGTTGTGAACAATTTACCAGACCATTGCTGATGATGACCCCGAAAATTACATTTATGACACTGTGCATGCACTAACACATAAACTAGAGGATGCTTGAGCTTGTTTTTAATAAATTGCACTGTATGTAGATTGCACATCCTACTTTAAACACTAGAGGCGCTGACATTTTGAACTACTACTACTACAATGATGGATTACTAATCAATGAAAACATTTACCTCAGTTGATTAAACATAGCGGAACCAAAAGACAAGCAAGATAGCAAGTGAATGCTGAAAATTTCTGAATCGTGGATGTTTTTCTGTATATGGCCCACAATCAAAGAAGTTTGGCCAGCGCGGGTTATTCGTTGTTTTTAACTACATTACATTACATTTACTCATTTGGCAGGCGCTTTTATCCAAAGCGACTTACATTTGAGGAACAACATACAAGCATCAACAGAGCATCAACTACAGATCTACAACTGACAATACATACTAGTAAGAGCAGCAATAAATACTAGTAAGAGCTCACAGTACATATCACATCAATGGGGTAAGTACCTAGGGAAGGAAGTAAGAGTTAACAAAAAGTGCAATCAATACAAGATCATTGTAGGGGATAGAAGAAGAAGAGCACAGGAAGTGCATGTTAGAGGTTAGGAGTTAGAGGTGTTATAAGACGAAGTGTTCTCGGAAGAGATGAGTTTTCAAGAGCTTCTTGAAGTTAGAAAGGGACGCCCCTGCTCTGATGGCATGTGGTAGCTCGTTCCACCATTGTGGTGTCACAGATGAGAATAGCCGGGACTGGGATTGCTTTGTGTGAAGGGATGGCAGAGCCAGGTGGCGTTCGTTGGAGGAGCGTAGCGTCCGAGAAGTAACGTAAGTTTGTATTATGGAGTTTATGTAGATGGGTGCAGACCCAGTAGTCACTCTGTATGCAAGCATTAGTGACATGAGTGCTTTTGGGCTGATCAAAAACCAGACGCGCTGCTGCGTTCTGAACCATTTGTAAGGGTTTCACCACACAAGCTGGGAGACCTGCTAGGGAGGGCATTGCAATAGTCGATGCGAGAGATAACCATGGCCTGTACCAGAAGCTGGGTGGCTTTCTTAGTGAGGTAGGGCCTGATTTTCCTTATGTTGTATAGAGAAAAGCGGCATGACCGAGAGACAGTAGCAACATGGTCTGAAAAGGACAGCTGGTCATCAATCATCACCAATTTTCTCACCACCTTGGTTGGAGTGATGGTTGCGGAGTCAATTTATAGTTTGATGTTATGGTGGATAGATTGCTTGGCTGGAATGACCAAGAGTTCAGTCTTAGAGAGGTTTAGTTGAAGGTGGCAAGCCTTCATCCATGCAGATATGTCTGATAGACAGTCTGTGATCCGCGCCGAGACAGTGGGATCGTCTGGCGGGAAGGATAGGTAGAGTTGCGTGTCGTCTGCGTAGCAGTGGTAAGAGAAGCCGTGCGAGCGAATGATCGGCCCCAGTGAGGTGGTGTAAATTGAGAAGAGAAGGGGCCCAAGCACTGAGCCTTGGGGAACCCCTCTGGAGAGGCAGTGGGAGGAGGATAATTGTCCTTGCCACCCTTTTGAAAGTGGTCAGGAAGGTTCCTGAAGCCAGAGAAGTATTTATCACGAGTGATTGTCGGGACCACAGTAGGAGATATGGCTTGGAGGAGATTCGTAGGAATCGGGTCCAGTGGGCATGTACTTGGACGGCTACGGGTCAAGAGTTCTGATACTTGAGTGAACAACCACTGACCTGGAAGGGCAGAGGAAAAGATGTAGTAGGACTGCTACAATGGTTGAGTTTGAGTGTTTCAAAGAATTGGCTAGTTATAGCCTCCACTTTGCCTGTGAAGAAGGCAGCAAATGTATCAGCAGACAAGTTTGTGGGTGGTGGAGGTGGAGGAGGATTTAGTAGCGCTTTAAAAGTGGAAAATAATTTCCTTGAGTCAGTGGCACTGCTTATTCTGTCATTATAAAACGCAGTTTTGGCAGCACTGATGC